CAGGTGCCTTTTGCCAGCTCACCTTCCCTAATGTTGATAAGGAGGATCTAATCTAAATCTGGCTAGAAGCTGAGTAGCCTGCAGTTTTCAAGCCAGGTGGAGGAGGAAAGACTGCTGGATTTTCTTTCCAGTAACACCATTATATATTTGCTGTTCTTCTTGAGGAAGATCATCATGGAGCCCTCTACAGCCTTGAGTGCAGACCCCGAAGAAATGTTGGATCAGGCCAACATTTTGTTTTATCAAAGGCCAACCTGATGCTTCTCTGGTGCTGCAACCAGGAGACTCAGGCAGCTCCCTTTCCTGCCATTCTTTCCCTTCTCATTGGGTGACTTTGGGCAATGACTCCATCTTAGCCCTGCCTACCTCTCAAGGGTTGTGCTAGGCATGCTGCCTTAAACTCCTAAAGGAAAGGCAATTAACAAAAACAAATAAAAAATCATATCTCTGGAGACCTGCTGCTCCTGTTACAGGGACTCCTCAAGACCAAGAGCCCTTGAGAGAGCTATCCTCCATGAATTTATCCACTCCACAGACAAGAGTAGCTTTAAAAGATGCTAATGAGTAATACATTTGGATGTGATCAGAATGTTAATAAAACGTTTTCCCATCTATATACTAGTAAAAGAATTGTGTCTGTAACCTTCCACTGAGTGAAGCACTGCATCATAGGGCAACAATTTTTGAACCAAGGTACCTCAAATGGGCTAACTTACAGAACATGTCCAAAATCTGGGACCCATGATTCCCTTGGATTGGAATTTGGAGAATCTGTAGCTGCTTCTGCACTGCTGTGCCGCCACGGTCAGCCCAGGTCATGTCATTGTCATGAGTATATTCCCGATTTCTTTCCTGCGTCCCTCTGTCCCCTCCGCCCAATCAGCTGTGGCAAGGCCAGACGGGCAAGCAGCGATTGGCTGCTTTGGAAATGAGGCAGAAATTTGAAATCTCTTAACGGCTGTGGGCGTTGAGGGTAGGATGAGGGAGTGACTTGGATTCCTGCCGGTGAAATAGGGCTGGCTGGGGGGCACTCGGGGTTGACAGGGGATCCTTCTTTCTCCCCCGAGGGAGGGGGCCCATGGGGACATGCCAAAATGGGGTGTGAGGTTGTAGCTCTGTGGCTCCCTTTGTTCCACCTCCCCCCAGCAAAGTGGCAGGCAGTTCTGCAGGTCAGCTGAGGAGGACAAGGAAGCTTCACTGTGGGTCTTGAAGGAGGGCAAATGGACTAAGCCTGCATTATATGTCGAAATGAAGGAAGGGAGGGAGGCAGGGAGGCTCCTTCTGAAGACCACTGTATCCTTGGCCACTTGGAGCCCACATTGTGCCTGATGGGGCCTTCCAGTCAGGCATTACCCAGGCTGATGCCCCTGCAGAAGCCGGGGGTCTGTGGACAAAGCCCAAATGGCAATGGGGGCCTGCCCCCAGCAAGGTAAGTGGCCAACAGGAGCTGGGCACATCGCAGCCCTTGACCACGTGATCAACCTGATTGTTGACCAAGGTCATAGTTTGATTCCCCAACTGAAATGTGTTGGGAGCAAAGCGAAGAACGTGGAAATAGTGGTGGATAAAAATGAGAGGGTCCTGAATGAAGCATCGTCTTCACTGACTCTTATTACATTCCATACGTAAGGTGGATTCACTGCATGACCAAGATCTCATTCAGAAGTGCCCTTTGATACTGATGTCATGAAATCAGCAGACTTGTCTGGGTACATCAGAATTAAAACAATACAATACAGTACAATACAATACAATACAATACAATACAATACAATACAATACAATACAATACAATACAATACAATGAGGCAGAAATACTGGTTTGTACATGATGAAACATCTATTTTAGTCCATTGCAGATTCAAGAAATCTCCAGGATACTTGGAATACAAAAGTGCTCTTTGGGGGGAACTGGTGATAGGAGGTGAAGGAAGTTGGTCTGTTTAGGTCCTCAGACCTCTGAAGAGGGGAGATGTGAAAACCTTGAAGTTCATTTTAAAAATGCCTCCCTGCCACCCATCTTGACAATGCTGATCTTTGGGGATGAGATCTCAGCCTTCTGGTGCCAAAGCAGAGCCGGATTAAGGCCCACCGGTGCCCTAAGCACAGCCAAACAAGGGACCCCTCGGCCCTTCCTTTGCTTAACTGACAAAACATTAAGGCCCAAAAACTGCTGGAGGTGAAAGAAGAGATTAAATATTCAGTTTTCCTCCAAGCCATTTCCCAGGCCGGACTCCAAACTATATTAAACTTTGAAAATGTATTAATAATTTTAATATGTTTTAATGTATTGATGTAATGTAATGTATTAATATTAATGTATGAATACTAAATAGCTATAAGCAATATAAGTAAATTATTCACTTGTAAATAGGGCAATAGAAAAGGGGCAATTTTCAACACTTTTAAGTCCACTCTTCCTTAAAATTGGTATAAGGGAAAAAATAAACAAAAACTTACAGAAAACTAGAGCCGAGGGTGGCAGTGAGAGAGTTCAGGGCATGATAACCAGGGGAAAAAACTCGGTGGTGCCCCCTTCTTTTGGTGCCCTCACCAGGGCTATTTTGCTCAAGGGCTAATCCGGGGCTGTGCTCAAAACAAAATCCTGGGGAGGGCAACCCGCCCCTGTCTGAAAGAGCCACCACACTTTTCGGGATGGCCACGTAGACCTCGCTCTCCGGAGAAGACTCTGATGCTGGGAGAGGAGGAAAGAAGGAGAAGAGGAGGACCAGCGGGAAGGGGGACTTATAGTGGTGATGGGGGGCCCTGAAAGACCACGTCAGGGACAGATCGGCATGGAGAAAATCTATCTCCCTGGTCGCTAAGAGTCGACAACAACTTGATGGCACATAATCAATCAATCAGTCAATCAATCAAATCAACCCATGTTCTTGCAGCTCCAGGTCTCCACAGTGACTCCTCCTTGTGCTCTAGGCTGACTCCTACCTGATACTCCTGCAAAGCCTCCTCCAGAGGAATCACCCGGTGGTCCCTGTGCTCTTGGGATTGGTCACAGTCCACGCAGATGAAGGTCTCGTCATCCTGACAGAAGAGCTTGAGGGGCTCCCGGTGCGTCCCGCAGAAGCTCCCTCCTTCCTCGCCCCCAGGGTCGCAGCGCTGGGCGATCTCCACCACATTCACCAGCTGCCTGTTCGCGAGGATGTTCCCGGGCACGAAGGTCCGTCTGCACAGGGGGCAGGGAGCCTCCGACGGCGATTCCCCCCAGCTGCGGGTCAGGCAGCTGCGGCAGAAGTTGTGGCCGCACTCGGGGATGAGCACGGGGTCCTGGAAATAGTCCTGGCAAAGGGGGCAGGTGGCTTCTTTGAGCAGATCCTGCACGGGCCCTC